AGAGGGCAAACTAGCAGGGACCATTTAGGAATCTTGAGCTAGCGAAGACAATTAAGGGGCTTAAAAACATCGTAAGACTTGAAAATTTAGTGAAACTGATAAACCCTAAAATGCACGGCCTCTAATGGGCAACGCTTCGGGGTCCTGAAGCGGCTTGTGAGCCCCAGCAGCCCTGGATGAGGATGAATAAGTGAGGATTGGCGTGGGAGCCGGTCGCTTCGAACCCACCGCATTTTAGGCAGCACCCCCGGATACGAGCGAAGCAGACATTTAGCAAATTGGGCGACAACGGGGTACGGTAGTGGGGGCGGCAAGAAATTGGGGTTTGGGTCGGAAAGTTATCAGGGTAATAGCCAGCCTATTCATTGGAATTTTTGACGTGGGGCTACGGATTCTGAGCAACAGCTTTGTACGAAGCACGGCCCTGTACGAAAAGGCGAAAAAGAAGGCGAGCTAGCCGTGATTGGTAGTGTTTTCGCTTAAAATATTGTAGTTTTTATTGGTTTTCAGTGTCAAAAATGTTAAAAATTAAGCCAGGCCGAAGCCTAACTCTAAAACGAAGCTTAAACCTAGACTAAGACTAAACCTGACGCTAAACCAAAGCCTAAGCCTAAGCCTGGCCTAAGTATCATCCTAAGTCTAAGCCTATCCTCAGGCTAAACTTAAGGTCAAGTATAAGCCCAAGCCAAGCCTAAGTCAAGGCCTAAGACCAAGCAGCAGCCTAAGCTTAGCTCTAAGCCTAATTCTAAGCCTCAGCCTCAGCCTAGGCAAAAATTGAAGCCTAATAATATTACCTAAAAAATAATAAATATAGAAGCAACGAAAACCGTAACGGAAATCCGGATTGCCAGACATTGTCCACTTTTCAGAAAACTAAAGCTAACACTCCGGGGGACCGGAAGAAGCCCCGCCGGTCAGCGCGGCGAAAGTGGTATTATTTGTCGGTCGGTGTGTTGGCCATGGAGAAAGGGGGCAGCCCGGGCTTGAAAAAGCTTTCAAAAAGGCATTGCCGATTGACGGGCCGAGGGCGGGATGGCCGGAAATCGATGAGCGTTCAGACCAGGGGGGAGAAGAAGCACCGTTTATTCCGGGGGCGCACAAACTGAGGGCAAAAGCTGGATGGTCCGGGGGGAGCACGAGAATGTGCCCTTAGGCCATATGGTTGGACCAGGAGGCGGCTGTAGCTTGTAGTCTTAGACCACATAAAAAGTTTGAGACCAGCTGTGAGACGAAAAATGGCGTCATTTGGAGTTGTTCGGAATTTAAGGAGAGCCGGTAGGTTAGAGCGAGAGAGAGAGAGCGAGAGGGAGAAAGAGAGAAAGAGAGAGGGCGAGAGAGAGAGATAGAAATCGGGAAAAATAGCAACGAGTGTGAGCAAAAAATTTAATAAACACATGAATTTCGAGACACCAGTATCTACCCCGGAAAATTGGGCCCAAGTTTTTGTGTTTATGCAAATTTCTCGGAAAAATCGGAGAATTTTGGAAAAAAAATCGTATTTTTCGAGCTAAGATGACTACGGTAGTGAACTCTTTACACAACGCTACAAACATTTCCAAATTACGATTGCCCCAAGCTGAATGGTTCGGGCCTGCTTGGGCCACCCGGGCTATATTCGTGAAAGCGACCCGCGGGGGGGGGGGCACAGCTCACGTCCAATTAAGTTTTCCTCAATATATGGGTGGGGAGGGAGATGTGAAGAGGAGTGGAGTGGAGAGAAAGAGAGAGATGGACTCAATTATGAATATGGATGCTGTCACCATCCACTGGGTGGCCATCCCCCTCCACACATAATACTTACTTACGCGCCGCACAGATACGCTTCTGCTGGAGGAATCTGAGATGCGGGTTTGAGGAGGATTAAAGGGATTGGTTCGGGCATGAGAGGGTGTAAATCCACGCATTAATGATAGGTGAAGGTCCGCCGAGGGCCTAACCGAAGGCTGGATTTTTGTATATGATTTTATGATTTTTTAAAGGGAGAGAGGCCGGAAATACGCAGGCTATCTGATTTTCCGGAGTTTCTTACTCTTTTGGAGGCCCTTTCGGTGTTTTTGCCGAGTGACATATCTCATTCGATCGAGCGTAAAATGCTAAACAAATCCTAGTCTTTAAAAAAAAGTATTTGATAGGCGCCGGTCCAAAATGCGGAAAAACACCCCTCCGAGAGCAAATTTTCCTGCAGACCGTGCCCGTTCAGAAATTTTGGAAAAGCGGAAATTGTTGAGAGATTTGAGCTTTACCGAATGAGCTATGTAACGCCGAAAAACGCCCAAGCACCTAGAAGCCCTAGCCAACCTTTCGTATGCGAATTTCAGGCGATTTAAATGGATACAAGAAAAGCACCCTAATTCGTGCCTTGATGGCGGCCCACTGCCATTATACGGTTGAAAAATAATATTGAGAGAATAAGAACCTGTTCGACTGTCAAAAAAAAAACGCATAACGCGAAAGGTCATGACCGATATCGGGTCAAAATATCCTCAATCAAGTGGGTCCTTTCGAACTTTTCGGTCATAGATTAGCAATCTCCTCCCTCACCACCTAAAGCATATAACGAGCCATAATGAGGTGTTTTGATGTGAAGGGGGGATCGGGTATACCAAGTTGGTCTCCTGGCAAGCAAGCCACACCCAGCCCCTGGACTGACTGACCAGGGGACACTAGGGCACTCTAATGGGATTAGCTGAAGGGTCTGACTTGGTTGACCAGGGGGGGGGGGGACTGTACCTAGGAATGGTCACCAGAAAATTTGGCGACGGTTTGGATGACGAGATTGATAAGGGGGAATATGCCTAAAGGGAATGGAAAGAGCTCATATTCTAAAACATTTCCAAAGAATGAGATTGAATACGGTGGGGTAATCAAACTGGCTCCATGTCTAGACTTCAAGAGCTTAACGCGCAAAACTACGACTTCACAATCCCTATAAGGGTCCGGTAAAGGCGGCAAAAACTTTAAAATGACGCGCTTTCGCCTGTAAATTCGCTAGTTAGATTTTAAGTTTGCTGCTCGAATTTACAACGTTTTAGAATCGCTCTTAAAACTTGGGAAAATTGGTTGAACCTTGGGGTATAGACCGGTATGCTATATAAATATGCCTCCTAGGTTCTTTTAAAAACTCAAAAGTTGGCAAAAAAGTTAGGATTTAGGCTTTATGGGGCTGGTCAATCCTCCGAGGTGTCAAAAGCAACCTGGCTGAAAAATATCGAAAGCCGGAATATTTAATTTTTTTTGATTTTGCTCATATTGTTCCAAGGTGTCAAGAGGACAAAAATGGACATCAGCCCCCGGTGGCTAGCCAGAGCAGGGTGAAATGGATGAAATGGATTCGGAGCAGGGCGCTGGATGGGGGGGTGGATGGCGAAAAAGGCGGCCAGAAGAAGAAGCCGAGGTGAGGGGTTGGGGGTGGGGGGTGTAGAGGCCTTCGAGGGGTGCCCCATGTGTTTGTGATGCGTCCCGCGTGTAATTAAGCGCATATGGGACACCAGAGGGGGGAATGGAATGGAATGGAAAGGGGAGGGTGGATGGCTCCGAGAATTCCGTGCTGATACTACTGACTGGGACGAGCAATTATGCGGAATTACACCAGAAGGGTCCCCCTCGGGTGGGTGGTGGATTCTGAATTTGGAGCACGGGCTGGTCTGGGATTTGGATTCGGGGATGGTTTCTTACACATCGACCAGATGGGGTTTGGAACATCTGGTGAAAAAATGTGAAGGAAATATCGTAGCTCGTAAAGGTCGCGATTTAGCAGGCTTGTGCTCTTGCTCAGTGGTTGCATTGTCATGCTCTTTTTAGCTCTTGTTCTTCTATCATTCTGTTTTCCTCTCAGTCTCGCTCTCTCACTCATTCTCGCTTGATCTCTTCTCTCTAGCTCTCTCTGGCCTTCTCTCTCTCACTCTCTCACTCTCTCTCTCGCTCTTTCTCGCTCTCTTTCTTTCACTCGCTCTCTCTGTCTCTGTCTCTCTCGCTCTCTTGCTCTCTCTCGACCCCGCTCACTCTTCTATAGCTCTTGAACTAAAAGGAATTTAGTAGATCAGCGTAGCCAACATGACGAGGCCCACATTTTTCTACCATAAAGCTGTCTCGAAAAAACTTGACGATGAAAAACGGTGTACACACGTCCTAAGGGTGATGTTGGAGATGGCCATCCAAAAGAGGGGACCGCGCTCGAAAAATGGGACGATTGTAATTAGTCGGATGGCCGAATGGGAATGGCCAAAGACAAATAGGAGGCGAGAGAGAGAGAGAGAGAGAGAGAGAGAGCGAGAGTGGGAGAGAGAAACGGCCATCAATGCCAATTCGGCGCGCCCAAAACGAATATATCCATTCGGATGGCCGGGGTCCTGGCGGGTCGTATTTGGACAGATGAGGATTACCAGACGCGAGAGAGAGCGAGAGGGAGAGCATGGCGGTGCTCCAATCACAACGGTTTTAGAGGGGTCGTACGACAAGTTTGGAGGATATTAGGTAAATCATGGTTTGACTTGAACTTGTCTCTGTATCACTCTCTCTCATTTTCTCACTCCCCACTTTCGCCCTATCTCTTCCTCTGCCACTCTTCCTCTGGCTTTGCCACTCCGAAAATAGAAAGTATTCTTTTTGGCTAATGATGTTAAGTCGGCTTTATCCTGGGATAGAGCGAGAGAGAGAGCGAGCGAGAGAAAGAGAGCGAGAGAGAGCGAGAGAGCAAGACATGCAGAGAAAGAAAGGTAGTGAGAGAGTCAGCGTAAAGGAGAGCACGAGAATGAGAGAGAGCAAGAGATATCCTCAAGCTCAAAGGAGCTTGTGTACTTTCGGTGGCCTATAAGTCGCGCCAGAAAGTTAGATGTTATCGATATTTCGGCGCGAAACCATTGGCTTTGATTTTAAAGCGAACCGGCCGATAATTAGTATTTTTGTACGTACCAAACTCTTGAAATCATTTTTTAGGCATGGTTCTGGCAATTTACAAAAACAAATAAACTTCTGTTGTCTGTAGTCTAAGCCCCTAGTCAACTCACATCATCTCCGTTGCTCGACGTCTCCGTGCGCTTCCTCGGCGTATTGTCAACCTTTAAGGCCTGATGGGTACTGTACTGCGCAAACATCGTACGGCCGCGGATCTAGAAAACAATCGAACTTCTTCGAATCAGGTTTTTTGATTATCTATCATCATTACTAGGATACTTTCGGAGCACAAACCTGAACCGGCACCGCCGACAACGTCTCGCACATCAAGGAGGAGCTCATCTGGTCCTCAAACTCGACGAACGCCTGAATTTTGACATGGTCTTGGACTTGGCTTGTTCTTCTACCTGATTCTTCCCCTTTAGCACCATGTAATTGTTGATTTTCCCGTAGTTCATGCAGAATTGGAGCAGCTCCACGTCGACCATGTCGGAGGGGATGTTGCGGAGGTGGACTACCTGAATGCATCTCTCTCACTCTCTCTTTCTCTCTCTCGCTTTCTCTCTATCTCTCACTATCTCTCTCTTTCTCTCTCTCTATCTCACTCTCTATCTGTCTCTCTCGCTCTCGCTCTCACCCTCGAAAGCTACTTACCCGACTCGGCTTTATATTCGGATTATTCTCATTTGAGCGTTGCTGCGAGGTAGCAGCCGCTTGAGTCCCGTTCGTAGGTGTACTCGTCGAAAATGGTGCCAATGTTGATGAGGCAGTCGGCAGGGCCATCTAGAGAGAAAGTATATTCAAGGAAGCCTCGTTAAACGGCTTGAAGTCGTCGGTACATTGCCAGTTTATCTACCTGACTAATCGGATTTCCAGCCAAGAATTGCCCAGCCGTCAGCCCATGGTTCATCGTGGGGATCAGCTGGCTGTAAAGCGCCGTTGCGGCCGCGGCGCCAGAGTCGAGCTTTGCCTAGAAAGAGGTAGGTTTGGCTTAGGTTAGGATTTAGGCTTAGGCTTAGGCTTAGGCTTAGGCTTAGGCTTAAGCTTAAGTTTAGGATAAGGCTTAAGTTTAGGCTTAGGCTTAGGTGTAGGTTTAGGCTTCAGTTTCAAAAATCAACTTTTTTTTGGCTGGAAGATTGACTTCCGGAAATTCAAAAAGTTAACGCAGCCCCGGGCTACAGGCTACAAATTACGGACTACAAACTCCAATAAGTTAATTAGCTAAATTTTTCAAAGAAAGTTATGCTTGCTTGATCAAAATTTAAACGTATTTTCTTCCAACGATTATCATAGGGTTTTTTTTTGTAATTTAGAGGTAATTTTTAGTCCAATCCTATCAAGTTTTTCCACACACCTTTTGCGGCCCTTTCTCGAAAATCTTCTCAAACTCCTTTTCATAAGCTCTTTCGTCATAAGAATAAGGGGAATACATAGCGATAGGTCGAACAGCCGGCAGAGGAAATTTAGAAATTCAGGAAACTGTACGAAAATGAGGAGGGACCGGGTGAAACGTTCCTTTTCTACGTGTCGACCATAATTAAGTAGGGACAGTTAGGGGCGGAAAGGAGTCGAGTGGAATATTTCGGGGCCCAGGAATCGAGTATCGAGCGGTGGTTTGGGAGGAGCCACGATTTTTGGCCTGACTACCGGCGCATGCCCGGGTAATTTGCATACGGGGTATGGGTGGAGAGGAGGGTCGTACTTTAAAAGGCTGTGTTTTTAGTTTGTGCATTAAAAACAATATTGTATAAAGGGCTGGAGCCTGAATAATTTAATTTTAACAATATCGTAAAGAAGTTAAAATTAAGCTTTTAAGGTGTATATTTTACATATTTCTAATTTGGTGCTGTTGAATTAACTTTATATAGATAAATCAAGATAGAACTATAAAAATTTATATTTATATTTTAGGTCGATACTAGGTTTTTATAAATTTGCTAGATAATAATTTTTTTAATTTAAATTTTAGAAAGAAATTACCGATAAAAAATTCAGCATTAAAAGAATCAAATTATACCAAAAAATTTAACATATCTAGACCATCAAAAAACGTTAACTTTTATAAGTAATTTTATATATAAACAATAAATAAATGTAAAAATGTAGTTATTAAATTCTACTACTGAATTAGATGAATTTCAAGACTTGAAAAACTGCCAAAAATTGTAAAAGAGTCGTCTGGCCAGGCTCCAAAACCTCATGCAGCTGCAGGCTTGGCGCCAGGTGCATTTTTGCATCCATCTTTCAGCAATGCAAAAGTCTATTTTTCCCGTTTTCAAAGCCAGACGGTGATCAACGCCATCAAGCTGGTTTACCCCATAAGCAAAAAAAATCGAAAACTTCTCAAAATCCCGAAAATACCATACCTTCTTGGCCTCCTGCTCAATGGTCATAACTGGGCTGAACAGCGAGGAGGCATTCGGCGAGAGCAGCTCGGGTCCGCGCTGGAAAATGATGTTTTTGGGCGTTTAGAATAAAAAAAAATAGTTTTATTGCCCTAAAATCCGGTAGGCGGCTTTAGTTTGCCGCCCCCGGTTGCCACACACATTAAAAAAGTGAATCCCGGTGCCGCGAAAAAAATTTCCATGGCTACAGGGCCGGCTTGAAGTTTTTCGAATTAAAGTTTGTTTTCTTTTTTTGATTTTCTACTACAGCTCAATATGGAGTAGCTCGCTTAATTTAATTTGCAAATTCTTAGGTTACTGGAATTTTTTGATAAATTTGCAAAAGCAAAAAATTTATTTACAGTATTTTTATATAAATCGAATATGCTAAAAAAATCGTAAAAATTCACTTTGAAACCGAAGTTTTAGATTCTAGGATTGCGGCGTCGATTTTGTTAAATTACATTCAGAAATTTTTCAATGCCACAAATATATGTTAAATAGATCCTAATAGCATTGAAACATATTTTTAAAATAAAATACTAAATTAATATAAATCAAATAAATGTATAGATATGTTTAAATTAGGGATTATAGCTCTCTGCAATTAATTAATTAATTCAATATAGCTCAAATTTCCCCATTATATCGGTTCTTGACAACAATTTCCATGGGCTGAGCGATGAAACGAGGGGAATGCTTCTTCCCCCCTCTGGCCGTTGCCGCGGGCGGTGTGGTGAGACCCTTAGAGGGCCCACGAATTAGCTTGATTAAGTTGAGGGCCCCCTCTTTTCTTGGCCATGCTCCCTGCTCCCTGCTCCATGCTCCCTCCGGGGTGGCCCATTTCCTCCCGGTCGCGCGCCCCCCGCCACGTGAAACTGCCCCTGAAAAACGGCTTCTAATGGCCCCCGTTATAGCTCGAGGTCCTCGGGGCGGGAGTGGGAGGAATAACGGTTGGTGTTCGGCTTAGGCTAAGCAGATCCCAGTCGAAGCCTGAGCCTAAAGCTAAGCCAAAGCCAAAGCCAATACATAAGCCTAAGCCTAAGTTAAGCCTAAGCGAAGCCTAAGCGAAGCCTAAGCTTAGTCTAAGCTAAGCTGAAGGTAAGCCTAGGCCTAAGGGTAAGCCTAAGCCTAAGCATAACTGAAGCCTAAGGCTAAGGCTAGGCCTAAGCCTAAGCCTCAGCCTAAGCCTAAGCCTAAGCGAAACCAAAAGCTTAAGCCTAAGAGAAGCCTAAGCCTAAGCCGATACCTGAGGGTACTCATGCAATATTTAGCGTAGCTGGTAACGGCTGTGATCTAACAAGGGGGGGAGGGAGGAGGTTTTCATGTCTTTTTTACGCTTTCAAAGGGTTAAACAAGGTAATTGGCCGGAATGCCGTGCTACTACTATTTTTAGCGCGCCATTCAAACTTTTTGGCACATGTTGATTAGTTATCCATGGTCCAATAAAGGTGTACGTGCCAAAATTAATGTCCCTTCCCTGGTAGATGGCCACAAAAAGTTATTGTCCCCCCTCCTGTCGAGTTACGGTCGGATTATTGCCGTGTTTTCCTTGTCGGGGTACGCTACGACTATCTTGCTATTGGGCCCTACCCAGACCTACAACTGGGGGTGGGGGGTATGGAGTAAAGAAATGTTAGAAATAATTTTTGATGACTTTATGCTTAGCGGGAGCAAGTTTTTGGGCGGCCGAATTTTACAAAAAAGAAAAATACCAGAAAATTTGAATGAGCACTCGCGACAATCCAACTAACAAAGAGCTAAAGGATGCTGCTTGAGGCAGATTTTGGTCTGGGCCCATTCCGATTCAGGCTGATGCGTTCTTTTGTGAGAAGGGGCCGATTTGTGGAGACCTAGTGGCTGCATGGGTCGATCTTTGCACTTCACAAGCCGTTTAAAGGGGCGGGACAGCATGCAAGCAGAGCTCTGAGTCTCTCACAAAAGACTGAATGTAAGCGACCAGAGTTAAGCTCACGTCAACCCAAGCCTCCATCTTAAGTTAAGTCAAACTAAGTATGTCTCTGTAAGCCTGAGCTTAAGCCGAAGTCTGGGATAGACGCCTAAACCAGGCCTGAGCTTAAGGCCAAGCTAAGCTAAAACCTAAGCCTTAGGCCAAGCTAAAGCAAGTCCTAGCTTCAGTCTAAGCTAGGGTTTACGCCTAAGGCTATGTCTAAATCTACAAAATCCCGAAATTAGCGTTAAAATCCTTTGGGAACACATGTCAAAAGCCTCCTCCGCGGCCTGGGGCCTGGGAACGAAGGGGATCGCGTGTGAAACCGTCGTTTCACCCCCCGTAGAAGCTTTTCCACAGCAGCCGGGGGGGGGGCTTCCGATTCTCCCCCCTCTAGCGCCAAGGATGCAAAAACCCCACACGGTGTGGTGGGTGTCTGTTTGTTTGTCGGTGGCCGACAGACACTCCAGATTTGTGTCCCTTTGCAACGCTCAACTGAGGATTTTCGACGCCAACCACCCCCGAAATAACCATTTTGGGGAGCGCGGGCGAACGGGTGTTCCAAGGTTCGGGGAGGCTAGGCATACTTTTTGGGTTTTTGAACAATTTCAGGGGGTTCAAATGGGTAGATATGCTGTACGGACTTCCTATGAGAAAGATATGGGGAGGGAAAGAGGAAGGGAGGGGAGAGCGAAAGAGAGTGAGAGAGAGAGCGAGCGAGAGAGAGAGAGAGAGAGAGAGAGAGCGAGAGAGAGGTAGAACACGCTCAAGAAGCCTGACAATGAAAAATTAAAATTTTTGAGATATTATATACCCTAACAGTGACAGGCTTCAAAGTTTCACCTGATTTTTCCAAAATACCAGGTCATAAACAAGAAAATGAGATGTAACGCGCGAGAATTGAGGTATTCAGAATATTTTAAGGGTCTTTATCCTGATTCAAATTTTTCAAGAGCTTTGGGGACAGAATATCAAGTCAAAATACCTAGTATAAGGTGCGTATCCAGGTCCTGGCGGCCCAGGATCGAAGGATGCGCCCCCTAAGGCCCCTAGCTCTAGACCCCGGTGCAATTAAAGGGGCGGGAAAGGGCGGGAAGCGCTCAGATTCCGGCTGAGATCCATCCCGTTGATACCTCCTACTTCCCCTCTCTTT